TGATGATTTTTTTATTTTTATTTTTTTATTTAATAATTCCTTATAATTAATTAAATTTTATGTATATATTTATATATTTACTGCATGTCGGGTATTAGAATTTGGTGTTTCAGATTCAACAATCAACGATGAATATTGAAAAAAACAATTCAAATGGCGATGGAGATCGCATCGTATTTCCTATAAGAAGATGACAATATATTTTTTATCTTCCCCTGTTATCTCTCTTAGCCTTTCAGGATTTAGGAAGTGTAAAAGTTCAAGAGTGAGTAGTACATTCCTAAAAAAAAATGAACATAATTACATGTTCCTTAAAAAAAAAACTTGTCCTTTGCTTTATATGTCCATCTTCATTTCCTACTTTTGCTTCTTCTCTATTCATTAGCTGCTTAATAAAAAAAACAAGTAGTTGATGATGATTGCCAATTAATTTTTTACTTATTTATTAAAATTAATATTTTTTCAGAAAAATGATGCATATTTCCGAGTGCCACAGCCTAATTATCATGGTTATCATCATCATCATTACGGTCAATCAATACCTAATCCACCTGTTTCGAGTGATTCAAGCATTTTTACAAGCATCACATCAAGTTTTAATAGTCTTGTCAATAATATTTTTGGATAAAATTTTCGGTAAGTTAAATATAATAATAATAAAATATAATAATAAAATCGTTTAATTTTGCCGTGTGCCGCCTATTTTTGTAAAATCAATTTATTTTTATTTTTTTAGAAAGAAATTTTTTTTTTTTTTTTTTTTTTTACACACAAATCAATGAAATTCAACTGGGAAAATTATTTTTAAAAAAAAAAAAAAAATTCAGTGTAATTATTTTACAAAAACGTTATTAATCACTTCCTAGTCTTCGTAAATATAAAAACTATTTTATTTGATTTGTTATTTATTTTATTTAGACAAAAACTATTATTATATACCTTTTAAAAATCTACTACTTCATTATTATTATTATTGTATTTGAAATTTAAAAATTTTACGCGCCAAAATTAAAGTATACATTATTGTTTTTTTTTTTTTTACAACTGTTAGTCTAACTAACCAACTTAAAGGTAATTTTAAATCAAAAAAAAAAAATGTCAAAAAATTATTATGCGTATAATGTTTATTTAAATTATTTTTTATAAAAATTAATCAAATATAAAATAATATTATTAACTAAACCGGAAGTGATGTGAATTCCACCAATGGAGGCACACAATTTAACAGCAAAATTAATCGGCGAATCTCTTTCTTGCATCACAATTACTTTTAATGCACTCATATCGTATTTGAAAAATATCCCAGGAATCCCGTGGGATCCCGTATTGTGATTAATTGGCCTTTGATAGTCTTTGACGGAGTACTGATAAGTTAATTGATTTGTGAGAAACGTTTTTACTTCGGTCGGTACAACTTCTATAAAATATTGATAAGACATCATTGCTGAAAATATATAAATGAAAACAGACATGATTTTTTTTAACTTTTAGACAATAAGAATATTTTTTTAAAAAATTTATTTAGAAATATGGAGATAAAGTATTACCGTCCGTAGCTATTTTTTCATCTCCTTCTAACGGATGAACTATTCCCGGACTATAATCACCAAAAGAAAAATAATTTAATCTGTGACTAAAATTAAATTCTTTGTCAGACATAAAAGTAGCTATGTGTATGTGACCTCGAGGTAGTTGTAATGATTTTCCAGCTGATATATGAAAATTTCCAGCTACTTTATTAAGAACCAATTCACCATAAATTCTGCATGCATCATACGGGCGATTCGGTAAATTTTTCCTGTAATCAATGAAATAAAAGAATAGTGTTGTGTAGTTATTAAATGAATGATTAGCACTTTTTAAAATTTGATTTCATTTTATTAATTTTTTTTTTTTCGTACCTAGGAACATAAACGTTAATAAAAGAAGGAGATGCAGATTTCCATAAATATTCGTGAACTTCATGATAATCCTGCCTCAATAAAGCATTTACATTTTTAATTTGATCAAAATTAATCTTTTGAGATGGTTCTAAGTCGAACCAAGTATTTTCCTCATGCAGTTCCCCAAAGTTAAAAACGCTTTGTTGAGTAGAATCCAATATATCAGCACTGACAGCTGAAATAAATTTCAAAAAATTCTGCTAATAATCGATCGAAACTTAAGTAAAACTATTTTTAAATAATTTTTTATAAATGTGTTGTCTTTATGAAATATCAGTTAGAAGTTTTAACATACCTGAACATGGCATTGCAACTGTCATGTCTAAATATATTTTAACTTTTTGATCAAAATCGACATCGGGTAAAAATTTGTAAGTAATTTTACTGTTTGTATAATAAGTTATTTCAGAATATAAAATCCATAACATTAAAATATAAGATATTATACTAACTGTAAAAAAAAATAAAATAACAATTTTTATTAAAATAGCTAAGTCACATAATATTTCAAATTATAATTCTAATACTGCATGCGCAAATTAATTTAAAAAAAAAAAAATTATAAGATATAAAAATTTATTTAATCCAAAAAAAAATTGAAATACATACGTGTACCCCCAACAGGTGAAGATTCCCTGCAAGAATTATCAACCTTAGGAAAAGCATCTAATACTTTAACGGATTTTAAAGACACAACTTTTTTAAATCGCTGCCTGAGTACCATTTTATTTTATTATATTTAAATTAATTATAATAAAAATTTTTATTTTCAATCATTATTTCAAATAAAATCCCGTATTAAAATACCCGAATTTTTTTATTGTGATGCATACCTCTAAAAAACAAAACAATGATCTTTACATTTTTTAAAAATTAATTATTGCCCTTAAAGGCTTAAGTAGATTTTTAATTTAAAAAATAAATAAATAAATAAATATACTTTTAAAATGTAAACAATAATTAAAAAAAAGTTACGTGTCTGAAGTTAATGACACAATTGTGTGGTACTCTATGGTTTTGTTGGTAGTCTGTATTTTTCTACTTCCACGGTTGGTAAGTTACTGCTTATTTCAAATCTACTAATATTAATTAATTTAACGTATTTTCCTTTTATGGTGCGTGATGTTTGTAATGGATTAAAATAGTTTACTTGTTATATTTTAAAAAAAAATTGTCGAAAATGGAAAACAATTTACTTATCTGCCCTTACGATAATTCACATGTTGTTAATAAACAACATTATCAGTTACATGTAATTAAATGCCAAAAGCGACATAAGCACATAAAATTAGTATCGTGTTATTATAATTACAGTCATAAAATAAAAGGAGAAGAGATATTAGAACATTATAAAATTTGCGCAGATAAACGTGAATTTGAAAAAAGCGAATGTCAGGATTTACGGAATTTAAGTTCACTTAATAAATATAGGAATAATTATTTAGAATTATTAAATAAGAAAAATCAAGAAAAGTATGAGTTACATCAAAATTTATTTGACAAAAGTTTGAAAACACCCAACTTAAAAGATTCTAACGATTCAAATTATAAATGTAAAAAAAGTAGAACGAATAATTTAGTTACTGATAAAAATACTCTTTGTCAGAAAAATGGTGATAAAGGTAGTTCTAAATTAAAACTATTAAATTCTAATAACAATAACTGTAATTTAAGTTTTATTCAAAAAAAAACTTTTGATAATTTTTTCAAAAAAACTAATTTGTACGACAATGAAATTCATAGTTTGCAATATAAAAATGACAATGACATTATAAAATCAGTCGAAATTGATGATTTAGGATTTATTATTCGAAATTAATTAATTAATATTGAATAGAAATTTAGTAATGCAATGAAACTAGAATTATTTTTTCATTGTTTAAAAAGTGCATTTTCATCACTATAGATATTATATCTTGTAATTTTTAAACAGTTTTTTCTCGAAAATTAATTAAAGTAAATTCTTTTTCTTATAATTATCCAAATTATATATCTATTGTGTAGAATAATTCACAATTGAAATTATTAATTTGTATTTATACTCTCCTTGAAAGTTGTAATATTCTATTTCTAAAAAGGGAAAAATTTTTTGTGGAACACCTATTTAGATTAAATTGAATATATTTAATTCTATGGATGTTGTTTTTCACTGCACTAGTTTTTGTATATAAATTATGATAAGGTTGTATAAATTAATAATTTGATGATTTCAGGAAGTTAAAAATAAAATAAATAACGCAATTATTTATATTTATATTTTTTATTTTTCACAATCTTACAAGTTATTTAAAACGATACATTTATCGGTAACTTTCATGAATTTAGTTAGATATTAGTTTGAATTCATTATAACTGACCAGGTTTCAAGTTTTTGAGCACTGCATTGCCAAAAATTTTAGCACCACTTTCATTTTCATCAGCACCTGGGAGTGTTTTGCATCTTTCGATCCAAGATGTAATATTCGAATAAGGACTTACATCCCATCCAATAGACTGAAACATGAGAAAATATAAAAATTAAATTTTTACTACTTATTATTTCTAATCACTGAACAATTTATTTAAAGTGTATACCAATGCACTGCTTAATGATGCGAATGTTGATAAGTCAGCAATGGTGCAAGTATCTCCAGTTAGCCACTTCCTTCCATGAAGAAATCTTTCGAGAAATCCTAAAGCTTCAGTCAAAGATTTCTTTTTTTCATCAGTAATCATTGTCTCACCCAAAAAAATTACTGGAAACTGTAATTATAAAATTCATAGGGCAAGTGAAAGTAGTTTACCAACAAACTGAAGTTTTCAAAATCTTTTAAAAATACTTTAATATCGTTTAAATAATCACTCGAGTAAAAACTTACACATATTGCTCTAATTCGAGGGAAAAGAACTGTGGCATCAAAATATAATCTTTGATCAACAACAGCTTTTAATTGTGGATTTTTAGGGTATAAAGAATCATCCTTTCCATATTTTCTTACTAAGTAACTTGCTATTGCTCTGCTT